GGATGTCTCTGTCTCTCTGCCTTTGCCTTTTGCAATTTAGTTCACAGCACTGTTTGACTTGCAGGTGCTGAAATGTGCTAAAGCAGACTGAACACCTGTGCATTTTGGGTGGGTGTTGTAGTTGGATGTTTTTGGAAGTGCTTTGCACATACTTGGTTTTTCAACCCTACTGTGCTGTGTGAAGCTGCACATTTTGGGAGCAGGGATTTGGGTCTACCTCAACTGTGTATGAAAAGGGATGTCCCCAGAGAAGGATGTGAGGATGCAGTTCCATGAGACCCTAAGCTATTAAATGCATTGTAGTAATTGAGTGCACTCAGGAGCTTCTGATTGAGACATCAAAGACATCCACACTCATTCCCAGGCAAAACATGGTGTAAGAAACCTTTGCTTCCCACAGCGCTATCCCAGGTCTTCTTATCTCACCACTGGGATGTTGAATTCCACCTGTGACAACAGATGTAGGAGTTTGTAAAAAACCTGCTGTGAACTGTAAAATCAATGGCAATCAATTGCTTCTTTCCTGTTTGAACTCCTTCCATCTACCAAATTAAAATTGTTGTAGGAGGAGTGAGGGAACGGTGTTGAGCAAACAGATCTCACCCTCAGTGCAGTGGTATTTCTGCAACCCTGGCAAATGTTATCTACAGTAAAACTGTCAGTCTGCCGTCTTGTGGAATATGTCTGTCATTGCAGACTGGAGGTATCTGGCATGAACAGGGCACAGAGCAACTTCCCAGCAGCTGAAAATTTTAGGGACCTATCTTTTATTGAGACAAATTTAAGAGTTTTGGGCTTTCCAGCTTGCAATGAGGGCCTGTGCTCCAAGAGTGCACCTCTGGAGCATAGAACCCTTCCTGGCATTTTCTGTTGCCTGCCAGGATGCTGGCTGGCTTCGTGTGCCAGGTGTAGGGACTGGGGAGAGATGCCTGCTGTCCCCTTGTCTGATGACTTCATGCTCCTATTTGCACTAACTTGTAGTTTAGAGTATGAGAAGAAGAGATGCTGCCTGGCAGAGGGGGCTGAAAAAGTGACAATATTTATTCTACACTCACAGCAATATTGAATGGAACAGGGAGCTAGGGCCCAGGCTCTGTGGCAGAGCAGCTCTGGAAGCTTGAGAGTGGAGGCCAGCAAGGAAATCTGCTCAGCAGTCTGTAACTAGTTGTGCCTTGCCTGGCTTGTGAATCTCATGCAATGTCTCCCATGCAATCCTGGAGCTGCTTCTCCCTGCCACTGAAAGCTCAGGAATGGGTTTTCCAGCCTGGAGGCTTTGGGAATCCTCTCTGGTGTCTCCACCTCCTATAGTGGTCATTCTCTGCACTGCTGTTTCTGTCTACTCTGAACCCAGTAGCACATGAAGAGATTGTTTGGTTTCAAAAAAAGACCATCAGATGAAGAAAGCCAATTTTTGATTGGATATTAGGAAAAAATTCATTATGGAAAGGGTTGTCAAGCCCTGGCACAGGCTGCCCAGGGCAATGGTGGAGTTGGCACTCCCTGGAGGGATTTAAAAGAGATGTACATGTGGCACTTGGGGATATGGTTTAGTAGTGGGCTTGGCAGTGTTGGGTTAATGGTTGGACCCAATGATCTTAGAGGGCTTTTCCAATCTAAACAATTCTGTAAGTCTATGAATCAGGAGGGAAACGTCATGCTTCAGCAACTAGGGTGCTCCAGTGCAGATGGCAGCATGGCTCTGACCTCTGCTACGGACAAGCTCCACTGAGAAAGCAAATCCCTTGCCTCCACATTCCCTCAGCACAGCTTTGCTAGTTATTCATGAAGAGCAATTAACATGTAAGTCATTCTGGAGCCATTGGTACCCAAGCCAGGACATCTGAAGCATCTGCCTCTGTTTTGCTTCTGTATGAGTTCTATGACTGACCTTATCAACAGAAGCACCTATGAATATGGGAGGAAGAGCCAGCAGCTTCCTCTCAAAGAGCAATGTTGCAATATTTTTCTTTTTAAGTGGGTAAGAAGCATATAAAGAATTAGATAAATGACATTTGGAGCAATAAGGTAAGCATATAACTGGACTCCAGTTATAATTGAATTATCTTCTTTGTTCACTGGGAAGCTCTCTTGTAATTCCTTCGCATAGCTTACCCTGCTTCCACTTATCACTGCTTTTTAATTTTTCAAGGCAAATTTTCAGGAGGTTGGTTTTATTTATGCTTCTTCTAGGCCAGGTGTTGGTTTGTATAGAAATATTTATTTAATTTGCTGTGGAGGTGAGCTGTGTGGAGTGACCATTCTAGCTACAGAAGAGGCTTTAGATTTCAGATTGTTTGGTTTGGGTTTTTTTGTTTGGTTGTCTTTTTTTGTTTGGGGCTTTTTTTCCCCCCCTCCTTTAGTTAATGAGCATATTGGTTTTATGTTAGACCTCCAGAAACTGTCTCAAGTTATTAGTCCCACTGAAAACTGTACATTTTATTTCTCTCAATGAAAAATTTTATAGAACTCAATAGGTAGAAGTCTGCTAGGCTGCCATTGCTAACTTCAGTTAGTGTTTTTATTGTCTGTTGCTCCCTTGCAGGAAACACTTGATTTGTCTTGCCCATTTTCAAGAATTACTAGTACTGGCTGTAGTTACTTAAATCTTTTGATTAGCTAGAGACTTAATAGGGCTGTTTATACCCTATTTTTAATAGAAGGCTTCAACTCGAGAAATTGCTTCACTAATTGATTTTAGGATGAATTTGCTTGGTGCTGAGGAATCAATGCCTGCAGTGGCACTTACATGACAAATTCTTTCCAATAGCCACATTGTGCTTGGACTTCATTCTTATTTTTAAGAAAATAAAAAATATGTTGGGCATGACTAACCCCAGTTGAGATTTTTTATCAAAAATACGGTTCTAGCATTATTTTACAGTATTTTTGTAGCTTTCTGTAGCTGCTATTCAAATCTTTCTCTAATGCTGGATTGTGTATGAGATAAAATAAACTGTGCAGAGTAGACGACTAGATGTGAGGAAGAAATGTTTTATGATGAGGGTAGCGAGGCACTGCCATAGGTTGCCCAGAGAGGTGGTGGATGCCCTATCCCTGGAAACATTCAAGATCAGGTTGAACGGGGCTTGGAGCAAACTGGTCTAGTGGAAGGAGTTCCTGCCCATGGCAGGGGAGCTGAAACGAGACAACCTTGAAACATCCCTTCAAACCCATACCACTCCATGATTCTATCACTATATGAATGGATTCTCCTAGTTTCCACGTGCTTCATGTTTCATTGCCTACTATAGAGGAGAGGTGTTCAGACAGCTGAATATGTATCACCTCATCTGTTACTATGCCTTTCTTTGTTTCTCCACAGCAGGGGGAACATGGGAATGTCCTTTTTCTTGCAGTTTGTAGTGACTGTATGAGACTGCTTTGTTGCTAGCATTGATTTGCTGGCATCATGACTCAAAGGGTATCATGGCAGAGAGGGGAGGAAGTAGGACTTAAATTTTACCAGAGTCCCTGGAATCGCCTAACCTGTTAAAAAAACATCTGGACATACTTTAATGGCCCTGTGGTTTTGTCTCTCAGGTTGAATTCAATCTTGGATGCTCCTTCTAGGGGACATTTAGGGAGGCTAGAAGATTCTGCTGCTGCTGTTTTTTTCATGATAAAGGCACAAATAGTCCCACGAACAACACCCAGGCTCGTCTTCTAAAAAAAGTCCAAGTGCAGGTTTGGAGCTGGGATCCCACCTGCTCAAAGACTCTCATATGGATCTACAAAACAGCCCTATATCACAAGGCAGAGAGGACAGCTCCTGATAAGTATATTTGTGGTTGCATAGCATCTTTGGATTTTAAACCTTCATGTCCTTTGGGTCTGTGACTTTAAACTGATCATGTAAACCAACTTTAGAATGAAGAATCCTTTCTGCCAGGCTTCTCTTGCAGAGGTTTTGGAAAAGATTGCCCAAAAAAGTCTTCTTTAAGGCAATTGTCCCATCCCTGTTGTAAGGACTTGGAGGAGGATAAAGTGGCAGTGTCCTCCTTGCACTTTATGCAAAACTTAGAAACCAGCCCTTTGGAAGAACACTAGTAAGAGGGTCCTCAGCTTCCCATGGCTGACTCTGGTTATGCCTCATGAGGTTACTCCAGGACAGTCAAGACACTGAAGGCCAATGTGAAGATCCCGGTCTGACACCCAACAAACATCAAAGGGAGCCTTTGACTTGTTCATTTCTCATGGCTTAATGGAAAAGATCTGATCCCCTGCAGTAACTGCCACTAGCAGTAAATGTTTATCTTATTCTTTATATAAAGTTTTCATATTTCCCACTGGATGTGTGTACAGATTCAGACATGCTGTTCTGCAATCAGTGCGAGAGAGATCTTGTATTTGTAAGACAGAAAATAATTAAAGAAAAAGAAGAATGTTTGACCACTGCTAGCTAGTCACTCTTCTAGTCTGAGTAAAGCATATATATTCATACCTTCATTGCCTTGGCATTTAATGAGGAGCCAGGAGATGGCACCAAAGATGCTATGTGCTCTGTAAGAACATTTACCTCTGTGTGTTGTAGCTGTTAAGAGGGTTAGACATTGATGGGACACAAGAAAATAAGCAATCAGTCTGTTTATTCGACTTTTAAATATACACATTTTTAATTTGAAGTGCAGCTCTTGAAGTAGTTCTTGCATTACTTTATTATTAGACACCAATGCCCCCTCAGCATATTTATTTTGTTAGATTATACTTCTGAAATTAAATAGAGACCCTTGTCAGCTTTAATGTTCTTCTGCCTATTCTTATAATTATAATTGGTAAGAGATGGCTTTCAATTAAGAGTATGTGGATTGATAAAGCAGCTGTTACTGTTACCCGAGTTCTTTTTGCACAGCTTAGCTCAAGGGCAAACTGTTTCCTCCAGAGAGTGGAATACTGAACCCCTACCCTGCAGGCCTCTAGCAAAGGTGATGTTTGTAGCTGTGGTGTGCTTGGATGACATTTAAAAAGCTGCCCCAGAACTGTACAGCTGTGTATACCTGAAATCAGTGAGCATGGCGGCTTTTGGGGGTGCACAGCGGGGTGCCTCCTGTGCTTATTTTTGAGTTGGCAGAGGGTTTCTGATCCTTTAGTTTCTGCTCTTCTCTCCTGCTCTCTGAGGCTCTTCTCTTCATTCTCAGGTAGTAGATTCGGTTGGCTTCTGGGTAGGTGACTTTGCAGAGGGGGATTTTGTAGATGGCTGGGTTTTCTGAATTTATCAGCAAAAAGAGGAGTGCAGAAAAGCAAAAAGGCCAGGTGCAGACTGGCAGCCCAAGCTGGGAGGGGAGAGAAGAGACATATAGGTCATTTTGGTACCACTTTTTTCTTGTTCCC